TATTAACGATAAACTAATTTCCGGGAATATATACCTTTGTATGGGGGCTATGGGAAATATTGGATCGATTGTAAAGATTTTAAACATAATTGATTACTGCCCTGAAAAAATAATGTGTGACAAAATTCATCGAAATATCTTTGGTAGTTTCTGAGAAAACTTCAAAAGAATTATGAAAAAACCGTAATTTTTTTCGAGGTAGTCTGAAATTTTTACTTATAACTTTTTACGTTGTGAACCGATTTTGCTGACCAAACTACTTAGGACAATAATGAATATTCTTAGTGAATTTGGCAGATTTTTTTGCTTAGTTTTAACGTGAGCGTGTTTTAACCAGACAGACAGACAGACAGACAGACGGACATAGCTAAATCGACTCAGAATTTCATAGGGACCCAGAATATATATACTTTGTTGGGTCTCAGACGAATATTTCTTGGTGTTACACACGGAATGACAAACTTATATATACCCTCTATCACCACTGATGGTTGTGGAGGGTATAATAAGATTTGCTGAAACAAATATAAACAAAATAAAAAATAACGCACTTCCAATTTTTTTTTTTTTTTTCAAAATGAATATAATAATAAATAGCGCACTTCCCGATTTTTTTTTTAAATCGATTCCTGATTTCAATTTGTTGTTGCTTTTTATAAAAACAATGTTCAAAATAATACTTAAAATTTTCTTTAATAAGTATTATTTTGAATTTTCAACAAATTATTGTCAATCAGTCGTGTTATTTTCTTTATATATAAAACATAAGTAAAATACACTGAATGATATATAGAAAAAAATATATTATTCTTTTTCTTAACGACCGCGAAAAAAGAAACCAATATAAAAAAACTTAGGAAAAATTACTTACCTTCTCAGCAACTTTTTTTTTATTTTTTTTTTTTTATTTCTTTGTTTTTATTTTTATATTTATATTTTATTTATATATTTACGCGCTCGGGTTTTTTAATATTATTATTAATTTATTTATTTCACTTTTTTATTTTATTTATTAATTTCTTTTTTTTTACACATATATTTTATTTTACTTTTTTATATATATATATATATATATATAATATATATATTTTTAAACTTTTTTTTATAAAATTTTCACTCTTTTTTTATATATATATTTTCCTTTCTTTTTAAGGAATTTTATTTTATTTTTTTTTAAATACGGCGCGTGAAAAAAAAACTTGGGGTCACCAAATGTTGAGCACAACAGAAAAAGAAAACGACCGTTCGGTTTTAGGGTATATAGAGAACTCTCAGATTTATTTACAAATTACTTCTATTTATAATATTAAAATCTACATAAAATTCTTATCAACTATAAAACAATGCATGTGGAATATTCTAATCAGAAAACATTCTAATCATAAATTATGTATTTAATGTATGGTCATAAAAAAACCCACATTTACAATGCTTGTGCATTTGTTGCAACCATCAGTCTATGCTCTGATCGTGTGTTCATTAACATAAACATTAACGATCAAGCATCTGACATAAAGCATTAAATTTATTTTATTGATTTGGGCAAATACATAAAACTTCTAATTTATTGATAAGTTTTATACCCGTATAACATAAACATGCATTTCTATTCCACATGCATAGTTTTCTATTTTAAATATCAAAATTCAATCTACAAGATTGAACAAACTATATGTCAAAAGAAAGTGTGTTTCTTATGGATTAAAATGAGGTATACAAAACTGTCGTAGCTTGAAAACTGTCAAAGTTATTTGCAGGAATAGGAAAAATACAATATACTAAGAAATTTACTCTGTACCAAAAATTGCAATGATATCCCAATTTTACCAATTTTAAGAACTTAAGATTTTGAATAAGCGATATGTCAAAAGAAAGTGCGTTTTTTATGGATTAAAATGAGGTATACAAAACTGTCGTAGCTTGAAAACTGTCAAAGTTATTTGCAGGAATAGGGAAAATACAATATACTAAGAAATTTACTCTGTACCAAAAATTGCAATGATATCCCAGTGTTAAGAACTTCAGATTTTTGAAGAAGCGATTTATCAAAAAAAAAATGGGATTAAAATTGTGGATTAAAATGAGGTATACAAAACTGTCGTAGCTAGAAAACTGTCAAAGTTATTTGCAGGAATAGGGAAAATACAATATACTAAGAAATTTACTCTGTACAAAAAATTGCAATAATATCCCAATTTTAAGAACTTAAGATTTTTGAATAAGCGATATGTCAAAAGAAAGTGCGTTTCTTATGGATTAAAATGAGGTATACAAACCTGTCGTAGCTTGAAAACTGTCAAAGTTATTTGCAGGAATAGGGAAAATACAATATACTAAGAAATTTAATCTGTACAAAAAATTGCAATGATATCCCAGTGTTAAGAACTTAAGATTTTTGAAGAAGCGATATATCAAAAAAAAATGGGATTAAAATTATGGATTAAAATGAGGTATACAAAACTGTCGTAGCTAGAAAACTGTCAAAGTTATTTGCAGGAATAGGGAAAGTACAATATAATAAGAAATTTACTCTGTACCAAAAATTGCAATGGTATCCCAATTTTAAGAACTTAAGATTTTTGAATAAGCGATATGTCAAAAGAAAGTGCGTTTCTTATGGATTAAAATGAGGTATACAAAACTGTCAAAGTTATTTGCAGGAATAGGGAAAATACAATATACTAAGAAATTTATTCTGTACCAAAAATTGCAGTGATATCCCAATTTTACCAATTTTAGGAACTTAAGATTTTTGAATAAGCGATGTGCATTTCTTATGGATTAAAATGAGGTATAAAAACTGTCGTAGCTTGAAAACTGTCAAAGTTATTTGCAGGAATAGGGAAAATACAATATACTAAGAAATTTACTCTGTACCAAAATTTGCAATGATATCCCAATTTTAAGAACTTAAGATTTTTGAAGAAGCTATAAATCAAAAGAAAATAGGTATTTTATGGAATAAAATGAGGTATACACAACTGTCGTAGCTTGAAAACTGTCAAAGTTATTTTCAGGAATAGGGAAAATACAATATACTAAGAAATTTATTCTGTACCAATTTTAAGAACTTAAGATTTTTGAATAAGCGATATGTCAAAAGAAAGTGCGTTTCTTATGGATTAAAATGAGGTTTACAAAACTGTCGTAGCTTGAAAACTGTCAAAATTATTTGCAGGAATAGGGAAAATACAATATACTAAGAAATTTATTCTGTACCAAAAATTGCAATGATATCCCAATTTTACCAATTTTAAGAACTTAAGATTTTTGAATAAGCGATATGTCAAAAGAAAGTGCGTTTCTTATGGATTAAAATGAGGTATACAAAACTGTCGTAGCTTGAAAACTGTCAAAGTTATTTGCAGGAATAGGAAAAATACAATGTACTAAGAAATTTACTCTGTACCAAAAACTGCAATGATATCCCAATTTTAAGAACTTAAGATTTTTGAATAAGCGATATGTCAAAAGAAAGTGCGTTTCTTGTGGATTAAAATCAGGTATACAAAACTGTCGTAGCTTGAAAACTGTCAACGGTTTTTGCAGGAATAGGGAAAATACAATATACTAAGAAATTTACTCTGTAGCAAAATTTGCAATGATATCCCAATTTTAAGAACTTAAGATTTTTGAAGAAGCTTTAAATCAAAAGAAAGTGAATTTCTCATGGATTAAAATGAGGTATACAAAACTGTCGTAGCTTGAAAACTGTCAAAGTTATTTTCAGGAATAGGGAAAATACAAAATACTAAGAAATTTACTCTGTACAAAAAATTGCAATGATATCCCAATTTTAAGAACTTAAGATTTTTGAATAAGCGATATGTCAAAAGAAAGTGCGTTTCTTGTGGATTAAAATGAGGTATGCAAAACTGTCGTAGTTTGAAAACTGTCAAAATTATTTGCAGGAATAGGGAAAATACAATATACTAAGAAATTTATTCTGTACCAAAAATTGCAATGATATCTCAATTTTACCAATTTTAAGAACTTAAGATTTTTGTATAAGCGGTATGTCAAAAGAAAGTGCGTTTCTTATGGATTAAAATGAGTTATACAAAACTGCCGTAGCTCTAAAACTGTCAAAGTTATTTGCAGGAATAGGGAAAATACAATTTACTAAGAAATTTACTCTGTACCAAAAATTGCAATGATATCCCAGTGTTAAGAACTTAAGATTTTTGAAGAAGCGATATATCAAAGAAAAAAAAATGGGATAAAAATTATGGATTAAAATGAGGTATACTGTCATGTCGTAGCTTGAAAACTGTCAAAGTTATTTGCAGTAATAGGGAAAATACAATATACTAAGAAATTACTCTGTTCCAAAAATTGCAATCATATCCCAATTTTACCAATTTTAAGAACTTAAGATTTTTGAATAAGCGATATGTCAAAAGAAAGTGAATTTCTTATGGATTAAAATGAGGTATACAAAACTGTCGTAGCTTGAAAACTGTCAAAGTTATTTTCAGGAATAGGGAAATACAATATACTAAGAAATTTACTCTGTACAAAAAATTGCAATTGTTGAGAACTTGATTGTATTAACTCAAATTTTGGGTGTAACATTTTAGCTACCTACTTAGTATTATTATTTGTAACAACAAAACATAGAATGCAAATATATCTGTGTATCTACCAACAAATTTTTATCCCGCTAGTTGCGACACGTATATAAATACTATGTAAAAAAAATGAATTTTTTCGTACCACTTTTGCTTCATATATTAACAAGAAGTTTGTTACAAATTAAAAGTTATATTTTTTATACCTAACGTCGACTCGTGAGTTTTATTTTGTCATAGTATATTTAATAAAGTGTTATTTTGTCAAATTAAAAATATGGTTTTTTAATATCAAGATATAAAATTATTTGGAATTAAGTATCGCATTAAAGGGCAGAAAAAGGCTTTTGTCCACAACACGGTCCTTCGAACCGGATTATATAGTTCATCCGGAAGGTTTCATCATCAACAACTCAAGCAAAATAAGTCATGTCGTCAAAAGAGGAGCAAACTCCTCCACCGGGTGTTAACACTGGAGGGATAATTCACACAAAGGAGTTACAACGAAAGAATTATCTCAATAGAGTTTTAGAAGAAGTGCGTAACATATCGAATTACTCCACTCTATCAATTCATCAACTGGAGGTCAAACTTTCACTATTGGAGCGACAGTTGGAATCATTTGAAAAGGTTCAGGGCCACCTCGAATCGTTAGATGACTCACAATTTGAACAAAACCACCGACTAGTATTTGAGGATGCATATTTTAAACTTAAATCGGAGATTCTTAAGCGTTTATCTATGCATCAACTAAATTTTAGTGAACCCTCGATGAGTAGTACACATTTAACAACATTACAACACTCAACAAAACCTCAACTTCCAACTTTGCAATTGACAAAATTTAGTGGAAATTACAATGATTGGATTGAGTTTTATAATATGTTTGGTATTTTGGTTCACAATAACGCTGATTTATCACCAATATCTAAATTTCAGTACCTCCGGTCTTGTCTTACGGATAGCGCAGCCAGGCTAATCCAATCACTGGATATTACTCCAGAAAACTACAATAAGGCTTTGGATATTCTGAAATCGCGGTACGACAACAAAAGATTAATTTTTCAGTCTCACATGCAGAACATCTTTGCCATCAAGGAGCTTTCAAAACCGAAGGTAAACATTGTTAGAGAATTTATTGATTCCGTAAATGCCAATATTCGAGCTCTACAATCGATTGCTTCCGATAAACAAATTGCTGATGGAATTATATTATATTTGATAACATCTAAACTTGTTCCCGAAACTCAAGCTAAGTGGGAGGAAGAAATCTTTACTTTTACGTTGTAAAACTTTAGAAATAGCTTATAAAACAGAATCGGTAAGACCAAATGCTGCACCAATAAATTACAAACAAAAATCATTTCCTGCAAAAATTCGTCAAAATTCATCATTCGTCGTTTCAAATCAAACTACAAAGTGCTACTTCTGCAACACCACCCCCAGCCATATTGCTTTTCATTGTGATAAATTTATTGAAATGTCTACAGTGAAAAGATTTCGTGCAGTAAAACGTTTAAAATTATGTATTAATTGCTAAGGTTCTAACCATTTAGCCAACTCGTGTCCATCAACCAATAGATGTCAACTTTGCAACGGGTTACACCACACACTCTTACACAAGGAGCAAACACATCGGCAGTCATCAACCAGCGACAACAACTCTATAACACCAACATCCATTGAATCTGAGTCACATGCGGCACTACAAGTGTCAGAAGAACACAGCCAAGTTATTTTAGGTACAGCCAGAGTAAGATTACAAGCACCAAATGGAAGATCCATAATGGTACGTGCGCTATTAGACTCTGGATCCCAATTACATTTTGTCATGGAAAAAATTGAACAATACTTACGCGTTCCCCGCAAGAAGGTCAATATTGAAGTATCAGGAATCGCTTCAAAACCATCGGGACCCTTTAGCAACTGTGTGCTTGAGATAAAGTCATCTACAAACGGATTTTCAACACCAATCACAGCTGTTGTAATCCCGTCCATAACATCATATCAACCACAAACATCGATAAATATTTCCAATTTTAATATACCAGCAAATATTCATTTAGCAGATAAACATTTTTATGTTCCCGGTCCTATTGATTTGCTTATCGGAGCTGGATTGTTCTTTGAGTTGTTGATGATTGGTCAAATTAAAAATAAAACAAGTAAGAAATTATAGTCGGGCGAGGCCGACCTATAATACCCTACACCTGTTACAAAAATAAAATGTGATTTAGTTTTCATAATAAAGCATTTAAGTTGAATTGCACCTTGCCTTAAATTATACTTAAGCCATTATTGTTGAATAAAATTGTGGACATTTAAGTCAAATTTTGAAGGGAAATTTGTATAGGGGCTATGGTCAAATGAGACCCTATAATTATAAAATTCATGCGAGTCATCAAGGCTAGTATAGAACTTGGTTTTGCAGCTTTTTGTCGAGATACGAGTATATTAAACATAATTATAAACTTAAAATCCCTATTCGTCGTTTTCAGTTGTATGAGGTCTAGGTGAAATAATGGACCGATGTTAACCATTTTCAATAAGCTTCGTCTCCGGTACCATAGAAGATCATCTGCCAAATTTCATTGAATTATCTTCAAAAATGCGACCTGTAGTTTGATTAAAAGGTTTACAAGCCCTATTCGAGGGTTCAGTTGAATGGGGGCTAGATGAGAAAATGGACCGATGTTAACCATTTTCAATAGGCTTCGTCTCTGGGACAATAGAAGATCATGTGCCAAATTTCATTGAATTATCTTCAAAATTACAACCTGTAGTTTGATTAAAAGTTTACAAGCCCTATTCGGGGGTTCAATGTATGGGGGCTAGATGAGAAAATGGACCGATGTTAACCATTTTCAATAGGCTTTGTCTCCGGTACCATAGAAGATCATGTGCCAAATTTCATTGAATTATCTTCAAAATTGCGACCTGTAGTTTGATTACAAGGTTTACAAGTCCTATTCGGGGGCTCAGTTGTATGGGGGCTAGGTGAAATAATGGACCGATATTAACCATTTCCAATAGGCTTCGTTCCTGGGCCAATGGACGGACAGACGGACGGACAGGACGTACGGACATAGCTAAATCGACTCAGAAAATGATTCTAAGCCGATTGGTATACTTTAAGGTGGGTATAGGACTAATATTATTGTGCGTTACAAACATCAGCACAAATCCAATATACCCTCCCCACTAAGTGGTGTAGGGTATAAAAACAAGTAAGAAATTATAGTCGGGCGAGGCCGACCATATAATACCCTACACTGTTACAAAATAAAATGTGATTTAGTTTTCATAATAAAGCATTTAAGTTGAATTGCACCTTGCCTTAAATTATACTTAAGCCATTTATTGTTGAATAAAATTGTGGACATTTAAGTGAAATTTTGAAGGGGGGATTTGTATAGGGGCTATGGTCAATGAGACCCTATAATTATAAAATTCATGCGAGTCATCAAGGCTAGTATAGAACTTGTTTTGCAGCTTTTTGTCGAGATACGAGTATATTAAACATAATTATAAACTTAAAATCCCTATTCGTCGTTTTCAGTTGTATGAGGTCTAGGTGAAATAATGGACCGATGTTAACCATTTTCAATAAGCTTCGTCTCCGGTACCATAGAAGATCATCTGCCAAATTTCATTGAATCATATTCAAAAATGCGACCTGTAGTTTGATTAAAAGGTTTACAAGCCCTATTCGAGGGTTCAGTTGTATGGGGGCTAGATGAGAAAATGGACCGATGTTAACCATTTTCAATAGGCTTCGTCTCTGGGACAATAGAAGATCATGTGCCAAATTTCATTGAATTATCTTCAAAATTGCAACCTGTAGTTTGATTAAAAGTTTACAAGCCCTATTCGGGGGTTCAATGTATGGGGGCTAGATGAGAAAATGGACCGATGTTAACCATTTTCAATAGGCTTTGTCTCCGGTACCATAGAAGATCATGTGCCAAATTTCATTGAATTATCTTCAAAATTGCGACCTGTAGTTTGATTACAAGGTTTACAAGCCCTATTCGGGGGCTCAGTTGTATGGGGCTAGGTGAAATAATGGACCGATATTAACCATTTTCAATAGGCTTCGTCCCTGGGCCAATAGAAGATCATGTGCCAAATTTCATTGAATTATCTTCAAAATTGCGACCTGTAGTTTGATTACAAGGTTTACATGGACGGACAGACGGACGGACGGACGGACGGCCAGACGGACGGACATACATAGCTAAATCGACTCAGAAAATGATTCTAAGCCGATTGGTATACTTTAAGGTGGGTATGGGACTAATATTATTGTGCGTTACAAACATCAGCACAAATCCAATATACCCTCCCCACTAAAGTGGTGTAGGGTATAGAAACAAGTAAGAAATTATAGTCGGGCGAGGCCGACCTATAATACCCTACACCTGTTACAAAAATAAAATGTGATTTAGTTTTCATAATAAAGCATTTAAGTTGAATTGCACCTTGCCTTAAATTATACTTAAGCCATTTATTGTTGAATAAAATTGTGGACATTTAAGTCAAATTTTGAAGGGGGATTTGTATAGCGGCTATGGTCAAATGAGACCCTATAATTATAAAATTCATGCGAGTCATCAAGGCTAGTATAGAACTTGGTTTTGCAGCTTTTTGTCGAGATACGAGTATATTAACATAATTATAAACTTAAAATCCCTATTCGTCGTTTTCAGTTGTATGAGGTCTAGGTGAAATAATGGACCGATGTTAACCATTTTCAATAAGCTTCGTCTCCGGTACCATAGAAGATCATCTGCCAAATTTCATTGAATTATCTTCAAAAAGCGACCCGTAGTTTGATTAAAAGGTTTACAAGCCCTATTCGAGGGTTCAGTTGTATGGGGGCTAGATGAGAAAATGGACCGATGTTAACCATTTTCAATAGGCTTTGTCTCTGGGACAATAGAAGATCATGTGCCAAATTTCATTGAATTATCTTCAAAATTGCAACCTGTAGTTTGATTAAAAGTTTACAAAGCCCTATTCGGGGGTTCAATGTATGGGGGCTAGATGAGAAAATGGACCGATGTTAACCATTTTCAATAGGCTTTGTCTCCGGTACCATAGAAGATCATGTGCCAAATTTCATTGAATTATCTTCAAAATTGCGACCTGTAGTTTGATTACAAGGTTTACAAGTCCTATTCGGGGGCTCAGTTGTATGGGGGCTAGGTGAAATAATGGACCGATATTAACCATTTCCAATAGGCTTCGTCCCTGGGCCAATAGAAGATCATGTGCCAAATTTCATTGAATTATCTTCAAAATTGCGACCTGTAGTTTGATTACAAGGTTTACATGGACGGACAGACGGACGGACAGACGTACGGACATAGCTAAATCGATTCAGAAAATGATTCTAAGCCGATTGGTATACTTTAAGGTGGGTATAGGACTAATATTATTGTGCGTTACAAACATCAGCACAAATCCAATATACCCTCCCCACTAAAGTGGTGTAGGGTATAAAAACAAGTAAGAAATTATAGTCGGGCGAGGCCGACCATATAATACCCTACACCTGTTACAAAAATAAAATGTGATTTAGTTTTCATAATAAAGCATTTAAGTTGAATTGCACCTTGCCTTAAATTATACTTAAGCCATTTATTGTTGAATAAAATTGTGGACATTTAAGTGAAATTTTGAAGGGGGGATTTGTATAGGGGCTATGGTCAAATGAGACCCTATAATTATAAAATTCATGCGAGTCATCAAGGCTAGTATAGAACTTGGTTTGCAGCTTTTTGTCGAGATACGAGTATATTAAACATAATTATAAACTTAAAATCCCTATTCGTCGTTTTCAGTTGTATGAGGTCTAGGTGAAATAATGGACCGATGTTAACCATTTTCAATAAGCTTCGTCTCCGGTACCATAGAAGATCATCTGCCAAATTTCATTGAATCATATTCAAAAATGCGACCTGTAGTTTGATTAAAAGGTTTACAAGCCCTATTCGAGGGTTCAGTTGTATGGGGGCTAGATGAGAAAATGGACCGATGTTAACCATTTTCAATAGGCTTCGTCTCTGGGACAATAGAAGATCATGTGCCAATTTCATTGAATTATCTTCAAAATTGCAACCTGTAGTTTGATTAAAAGTTTACAAGCCTATTCGGGGGTTCAGTGTATGGGGGCTAGATGAGAAAATGGACCGATGTTAACCATTTTCAATAGGCTTTGTCTCCGGTACCATAGAAGATCATGTGCCAAATTTCATTGAATTATCTTCAAATTGCGACCTGTAGTT